GGGGGGATGTGAAGACATCGCACGCGCCGAATGATGCAAGGGCGCCGAATGCCGATTGTAGGAGATGCCGAGGGCATGGCTCAAAAGGGTGCCAAGAGCACTCGTGAAGGAGAACGACATAGTGTTTTGTATCGCTTCCCACAGACGGCGCCAATCTGTTTGCACTAAAACTAGACGGGTAGTAAGTAGGCCAACTTAAAGATGAGGTGGATATTGAAGGTGAGGACCCTCAGTATGTAAGAGCATTCGGTAGATAAATGGACATGCATACAGAAGACAAGATATACGTGGTTCACCCGAATAATGGGCTACGTCCACGGAGAAATATGTTCTCATTACGATAATGTTGTATACAATGCACATAGGATTTGACCCATGGAGAAGAGGAAGAATACCGAAGGCTGATGGTTGAAGGCCGATGGCTGATGGCGCCGAAGGCTGATGGCCTAAGGCTGATAGCCGATGGCTGATGGCTGATGGCTGAAGGCAGATGGCGCCAAAGGCTGATGGCCGAAGGCTGAGGATTTGGCTAAAGGCCAATTATCCGTGGGCTTGTAAATGGGCTCATGGGTAAGCCCATGAGGCCCAAGTTGCCTGCCCCACTCTCTCCCCCTTTCTTGAAGGGGAGAGGTCTCCTTTTATAAAGAAGGGAGAGTCCCCTCATCTTGTGTTTTGTCAATGTGGGACTTCCTTACCTTTGGCTTGGGAGTGTTTGAGAGTGCTTGGCCAGATATTGTACAAACATTGACCATTTACTTTCAACGTCTTATCTTCTTCATTTGTTACTCTTATTACATTTATTGGTGGACGATCTCTTAGGTTCCAATTAGTGAGGTAGTGGGAATGTCTGATTCGTCCAAACCCAGCGTGAATTAAATTTAATTCTCTTTATTAAAGGCTAATTATATTTAGACCTTACAGGGCTTCCACAAAACATGAGTGATACATAATAGTATGTCATGGCTACCAAAGCAAAGTAGAAAAGGTGAAGAACCTATTCAAGTTGCATTGTTGTGTCAACGAGTCCTTCTCTATTATAGTGCTCATAATTCATATTATGAGGGCATGTATACTTTTGTCAAAACCCTAATATGAATTCTCCACTTACATAATTACATTGGTTACATTTAAAAACTTCTTTTCTAATAATATCCGATACTTTGTAAAGATTTCCCAATCATATCTTTGGAGCATTCTCTCTCCCTACTGAGAACAGAAATCACTTGTTGTACATTCACTTACTTATGTACCTCAACAATATTTCTAGAAATTAATATTTTGACCAGAAATTGTTGGCCTAGCCGGAATCAAGGCAAAGTGAGATAAATATGTGTGAAAATTGGAGTAAAGTGAGACAAAATGAGTTAAAGGGACAAGGACGGATCCAGGAATTTTATCAAAGGTGGGCTAATATTTTTCTTGGTTTTGGGGACTCCAAGTAATATATATAATAACATTTAAAATATTTCAAAACCAGAAAGTAACAAATAAAATAATAAAATAACATCTTTAAAAAAAATAATCTAAAACAAACCTTTCTCCTTCTCTCAGAAATACTATGCAGCTAGAAGAAGTAATGCAAATGAAATTCAACAGAAGCAATCCAAACTACAGAGGGACCAGACCATCCACTATTTAACCTCAAGCCTTGGAGTTTCAACTTCAAAACCACCTTAATTAGTTGATACTTGTAAAAATATTTAAAATAGAGTCAAATAAGAGGGGTTTATAGTTTATTTTGGCAAAAAAGGGAAGGGGATTCACGGCTACTAGGGAACATAGAGCATGAAGAAATTATTAAATTTTCATGTTAGCAAACAGGGGCGGACGCACCAAGGGACAAGAGGGGTCAATTGACCACCTGGGATGCCGGCGTTTGGCTGTGGAGGTCTCAGGCGAGCAATTGCAGACCCCTTGGCCAGTAGCTTGTTGACCTCTTGGGTGCATTGAACGTGCTCGACGAACGTCCCCAAAGAGAGAGAGAGAGGTGGGTTGATGGTTTACAGCGATGGTAATGGGTGGGTGAGTTTTAATTTTGGACAGAGATAGAGAAAAGGAAAGGCAAGGCAGAGCAGATCGAAGGATATTTTTGTTGCAAACTGTTGAGATTGGTAAAATTCCCATGTGGGACCCATGTAGTAAATGAGGCAGCGAGTTCTGGTTTTGGTTTGGCTTTTGGAGGAAGTCATGTTGCATTTAAATGAGTGGTTGAAATTGAAGACATTTAGGTCTTCACTTGGGGCCGACATTGGTGTAGAGTATGAGAAAAGTCTTGCTTTTCACATTGAGCAAATGGCCTATTAATATACAGTAGCTGATTAATTTAGTGTGTGGGGCTTTGAAAACAACATAAAAATATAATATTAGAAGTATTAAAAGTAACAAAAGTTTAAGTTGCAGGGAATGGGAAGAGGAACGTAGGCACGCCAACAATAGCAAACATGTTATATTATATGTAGTATTTTTTTTGGGAGTTGATTTCCCCACTCCTATTTTCTCCACTTACACTCCCTTTTGCTTTTTAATACTTTTTAATCAAATTTGTTCTTTCTCTTTTCTATTCTATCCTTACCCTACATTAATTTCTTTTTTACTTCACTTTTATATTATTTCTTTTATTTTATACTTAATTTTCTAACTTACACTCCATTTTCAGTATTAAAGGAAAAAAAAATTACCGAAAATGGAGTGCAAGTTGGAAAATTAAGTATAAAGAAAAAGAACTAATATAAAAGTGAAGTAAAAAGAAATTAATGTAGGGTAAGGGTAAAATAGGAAAGAGAAAGAACAAAATTGATTAAAAAGTATTAAAAAAGCAAAAGAGAGTGTAAGTGGAGAAAAGGGAAGTGGGGAAATCAAATCCCTTCTTTATGTTTTTATTTTTTTATAATAAAATTTGAGAAGGTACGGAAGAGAGGATTGGAGTGGATGTTGCAGAGAGTGAAACTGTGAAAAAGATAATGGGAGGTATTGTTTTTTTTTTTTTTTAATTTCTTTTTCAAAGTGGGGTTGGGCTCGTTTCATTTTAAATTTTTTAAAAAGATAATTGTAGTCTCTATACATTATGATTTTATTCTTTATAAAAAATGATATTCTCTTTTAGATGAGACATTAACAAAAGTGCCTAAAATTATTTAAAAATAAATGATTTATGAAGCATAATGTAATGTTTTTAAAAGAAAACTTGTCGTGTACAATTGAAGTTTGGATGGAAAATACTATTTTTCTGTTTTTCTAGTGTTATTTTCTTCTTAAAATTTTTTTGAAGCTTTTACACTATGACTCCTTGACCCGAGATTCCTGGATCCGCCACTGTTGGCAGACATTTAATATTTCCCATGTTTGTTTTGATATTAATTGATTATTACTACCATGTTATTTGTTCCAAAAGCAGTCATAAATGTGTTTTTTTTTTTTACTCAAAAGAGGTGAGCTAATATTAAACAAAAAACAATCACAGGCCAGGAGACAAAGAGATCGTCGGCTAATATTTTTTGTAGTAGGATTAGCTTGTAAAATTTGCACTAAGTTTAGTATTTTTAGTATTTTTACATTGTGCTAGAGTCCAGCCTAGTTTGTACATGGATCCGTCATTGTTCAGGGGGCAAAATGAGACTCAAATACATTTTCAGGGGTTATATAAAAAATAAGCTAAATATTAATATAGAAAGAGAAAATGAAATGGGAAAGTCAATAAAAAATTAATTACAATATATCATTATATAAAAAAATATATTAAAAATTAGTTTGTTTAATCTTAGTCATTCATTGTACTATAATCTAATGGTTGAAAACTTGTGTCAAAATAAAAGAAGGATAATTATCTTGTAAAAGAATAATTTTATTGTTAAAAAAATCGATTCTATGATGACGTTAGTAATAGTAGGGCTCAGTTTCCACATCATCAAACTGCTCGGCAATTCATCACCTTTGACAATTTGACATTTTGTCGACCAAAGTATCCAATAAGGCCTTGTTTCTTTGTTGCCGATTCAAAGACAGTCGGATTAAAATACATAAAATCAACGACGTGTAGCCTTCGTCTCTTACAAAAGTGGTCAAAGAAATTAATGGTCTTGTGTTATTCGGATCTCACATCTCTCAGAAAAATTATTTTTCTAATTGAATGGAGGAGAGCGCATCCGTCCTTCACTTTAATAAATTTGTGAACAAGAAAAAGTATTAAATTGAAAAAGTCATGAGTATCTAGAATTCTAGCTAAATATTTCAAACTCTAAATTAAATGGCTCAATGGTAATAATAATAATATTCAATGTGGATGTCACTTGTCAAAGAATTAGTCCACTTGGAAAAGTGGGAACTTAGAAAAGT